CCCCCTCCTATCCTGACAAAGAATTTCAAGGTCCACTACCTCCTTATGTAAATATGCATCAACAACAACACATCAGTTCAGCAGTCAATTCCCCCTCGCACTCCCCCAAACAGCTGATCGTCAGGAAAAAACTGGGTCAGTCAAGAGACGCTAGCCAGTCACACACACACACACACATAGATCTGAGCGAGCCAACCAACCACTCGGCGATTCGCTGACTGATAGAAATCTTGTCATTAATACAAGTAGGCTAGGTAGGATTCAGTTGTCTGAGATCTACAGTTACATAGAACATTAATCTCAAGTCGTGATGGTTATCAGCATTAAGCGTTAGCACTGAGTAGGTAGGTATAGGGTCGTGGCCTTTCGTTCGTTCGTTCGCTCAAGTCAAGGATCTTCTTTCCTGGACTGTTGTGTAAACTGTAACGTCAAGACAGGTTGCATGTCAAGCAAGCACAAGAAGCAAACCGGCCGTGTCGTGTCATCGTTCGCGGTGTGTAGTGTTGTAGTAGTTTTAACGAACTAACCCGCTGTGTCTACACACCTAGCTAGGGGGGCGTGTCTGAGCTCTCGGCTTGCTGCTTGCACGCCGCCGTGGCGAGTTGCTTGTTGTGAAGACTTGTGTTGTGTAAGGTAGGTGTTTGCCGGCTTCCTTCTACTACTTACTAGATTCCGACATTTCATTACTTGTTCTTGTAATTATTTAAAAATCTCTGGTGATTTTTCTTGAAAATTACTGTCATTACTTGTATAGAGATCTAGATCTAGAAGATCTATCTTTTGTCGCTCTTTGTATATCGTTTTGCTTTACTTTAAGTTGCTCTCAAGTCATAGTATAAAAGTACTATAAGTATTTGTCGTGTCATGTGTGTATAGTACAGTATAGTAGTATAATGTCGGCTTCCAACATTTCATTTGTTCTTATCATTTAAATCTCTGGTGGGTGCTTCTTCATTACTTATCTTTTGTCGATCTTGGTTTATTGTTTGGCTCGTTAAAATTGTTGTTTTGCTTCTAGACTAAAAGCTGCTCCCATAGATTATAAGTCACACTTATTCGTGTGTCATCATGTGTGTATGTCGGCTTCCAACTTTTCATTTGTTCTTATAAATCGTAATTTAAATCTCTGGTGCTTATCTTCATTACTAATCTAGATCTAGATCTATTTTTTGTCGTTTTTGGTTTGTGTTTTGCTTTAAGTTGCTCGCTTGTCAGTGTAAAAGTATCATTATTTCGTGTGTCATTTATGTGTGTATTTGATGATAAAACGTAGATTATGTTGTCTGGTACTCGAGATCCCTTTGTTTATCCACTGATCTAACATTTCCACCGGCTTCCTTGTTTCTTAATCTTATTCTCTCTCTGTTATTGTTCTTGTTCTTGTTCTTGTTCTTCTTCTTCTTCTTCTTCTTCTTCTTCTTCTTCTTCTTCTTCTTCTTCTT